GTGTGCGTGTAGCCAACCTCACCCGACAAGAACCATCCTTCTCACCTGATCTACTTTTTGCTTATTTTTATATCAGAAAATTTGCAGGGTCAGCTCGGCAGACTGCTCACCGCGAATCCTCTCCGTGAGTTTATGTGGCTTTGCCGCGTGAGGCCTTGTGCGCGTGCGCGTGTGACATTCACCAATCCTTTTATGTTTTTTTTGTGTGTGGCACGCTAACCTGCCAACCGCACAAGCCCAGTTACTGAAGTGACTCATCCATAGCGCCAATGCCAACCCCTTACAGGAGTTTACTTCTGTTTTTGTGTCCGTTTTGCGCCAACATCTTGCCTGTCTTTTTTTTAAATGGTATTTAAACGTGACTTGATTCCAACAGGAGTTTTCCATTTGACCCATATACTTCTATTCGCACCCACTGACAAAAGCAACATCGGAATAAGGGTCGAATATAATGCGTTATTTTGAGTTTTCGAAGTCTGCAAACGATTTATTATAGGGCTCACCACGATCTTTACCTTGCGTAACTGCCTACTAATATCGTACTAGTAAGCGCTTTTTTTTTACAAATTTGACGTCGGTCGTGTTTCGCACCACAAAGGTACGATACTGTCCGGAGTCATTCTCAACTTCATCCAGTTCAGCCAACCCGGCCACTTCCGATGTCACTAAGACTCTTCGTTCACCGTGGTGGCGGGCTTCAGTGAGGTGATTGATCTCCGCTCTGGAGTTTGGCTGCTTAGGGCCGGGCCTAGGTGGTTTATAATCCATCAAATTATCCTAATACTACAGAATTTGGTGCGCTCTTGTCCTGCTCTAGGCGTGGTCACAGTAAACCGTGACAATTTCACTCCGTTTGACTTCAGTGGCAAATGCGTTTAATCCTATCAAACATTTTGACAACTGATCGATGTTTGACATTGAGGTCAAAAACTATGCATCCTGTGCTTGCGAAGGAGTTTCAGATGCCGTTCGAAAATCGTCCCTACTGAAATGAACATACAGATCGCATGGAATTCGTATTGGCCTTCAGAGTTCCACAGCGCGACGCGTGACCTATCTGATCCGCCTACTTTGGACCGAAACACGTCGCTCAATTAGTAATTTGAGGATGAGTAAATAGTACAGTGTCCTATCGCTATGGTGGTCGTATGGGCAGCCAGTCCGGCCTCCTACATCCTCTAGCAAACCCTTCGCATTACAGGGACGAAACACATGCATTACCACCTGGAAAAATGCCCTTGGACCTCGAAATAGATAATAATGTCTCACCTCTCAGAGCACTCCTGCAGTTGATTGTTTTATAGATTTTCTTGCCTTATCGTGATCTACAATATTGCGCAAGCACGATCGAAAACATAAGTTAGCAGGTTTGAATTCCCGAAAGTAAATTTGTTGTGCCCCAGAAAAAAGCAAAGGTTTCCTACACGTAACTTCTTCTAGGGACAGAGTTGATTGTTGGGGATATCTGTCCTGCAGCGGTAACTGGTGGAACCACTAGACTATGAAACATTTTCTGTTACCTTTGTCTGCGGGGTAATGAAAAAATGCAATCGGCCTACGCATCACCTAGACACATGTGACTTTCAGAGCAGCCAATAAGCTCGAACTCGTCTGGGCAACGGCGTTCACCTCGATGGCAATGCGAGATACGACCCGTGGCCTTAGATGCCTATCTACGGGAATTATGAGTTCAGCGACGCTTGCGTTCCATTCCCTGAATTCGTCTATAACAATTGAGTGAGACGTCAGTCAGGGTCCTGGCCCGTCAACTCTTTACTCGCCGGCCTAAATTT